ACGGGGTTTGAGGGCCTGCGGTGGTGGGCCTGCGAGAGGGTGGTTTCCCTTTTTGAAAACAAAAAACGCTACCTGGCAGTTTGACAGGTGTCATATGCTTTTCAGGTGAGCTCTGCACACGTTTTCGCTCAGCTATTTTTGCCACTCCGTTCCTTTACCATACTGTAGCTATTGCTGAGTCAGCCAGCAAGAGATGGGAAATTTGTGCTGATCTAGTAGATGGTGTTGCAGATGACTGCTCTGAGGTTAGTGAGAGCTGTGTGACAAACCTTAGGTATTTAAGTGAATAGTCATACAGTTACGTGGCAGGTTAATGCTCTAAAGCATTACATACAACCAGTCTAGTGTGCTTTTTACATTCTGGTTAAGTTTTTGAAGGCGTTGCAGTTGTTTTTTGCTTGTATTTTATTTTGATTCCCAGAATGGATTGCTTTACTTTATAGTCTCCTGGAAATTTTTGACTGAAAGCAAAGGCAAGCACGAAACGGATAGGATTTATAAAGCATCCCTTTTGAACCACCATTTTGAAATTTAACAAAATGATATTAATGATAAACTTCAGCTTTATATTTAACGTTACGTCTTGCTAATGTCAAGCTACGAGTCAGTGTAAGTATACAAATATTTTAAACAGCATTAGAAATACAAGCTGATCATATGCATTGAAATTTTTTTTACAGCACTCAGTAATGCAGAATCAGTGTAAGAAATCTTCATCAATATTTTCTAGAAAGGTCAACTGCATAGCACAAAACCCCATGCACTTCAGCCAAGTTAAAAAAACAAGAAGGCTTTAAAGAAACCTTTTAGGTTAGAAGTTACTGCCATTCAGTTAACCCCAAGATCAGCACTGAGGCATCCTGTATTTCATAGCAGCACTTAATGATAAAACATTGTCTGATAATAGATACTATGGATAATTATTTTCATAAATTAATGTGTTTTTCCCTAATTGATTTATGTGAAGGCATTTTACACTTACTAGTTTTGCTCAGAAATGTGAAAAATCGTATCTGAAGAAAGATTTTTGAAATCTTTCTAGCTCTGCAGTTTGGTAATTGCCTAGATAATAATTCCAACTGTCAGAATTTAGGAGTTGTATTACTAGTTTCGGGACTGGTAGGACTCTATATAGTAAGTATTATTTCTGATTTTCCTGAAACAGTGTGGTATTCAAAAGTACTTGTATTTTCATAGGACATTGCTATGCCTTTTCTATCTTTTGCATTGTTTCAAAATCTTTGGCAGTAAGATACCCTCTGGCTATGTCTTATTTTAGTTTTCCTAATTTAAAGATACATTCCATTCTGCTGAGTAAAAACTATAATACCACTTTGAAACAGTTTTGCAAGAACATAAATTTATAAAGCAGTACGTAGATCATATTACACAGGGAAAAACAAAGGATAATGTTGACTTTAAAAGGAGTGGTTTTGTTGTATTTTGTTTTTTCTTTAAAAACTTTCTGTCAGGAAATGAAAGAATTTGTTCATAAGGAAGGCAGTCCTCTCAGTGAGTTTCCCCATTTGGTTCCATGAGCCACGTGCCACACCTTCACTGTGGAAGGATAAAGAAAAATAGATGGTGCTGTTAGTGCTCATATGATTGAGATTGGCATTGGTAGGAAACCAAGATGATTCTCGTATCTTCAGGAACACTTCAGCAGTTAGACTTGCCCTGTCTGTTATTTTCTCCATTCAATGACAGCTTCATTTTTGATGTCCAAGCAAAAGAAATAATACTGGAAAGACTGTCTTTGCAGAAGCCTGATGGATGGATTATTACTTTTAAGGCAACACGAAGGGATTTTTTTTATCCACTTTGAAGTGACGATGTGTAAAGCCCTCAATCCTCAATGGAAATCTTTACAGTGCTAGGTTTGTACACGTAAATACTGAATTATAGATTGTCTCTGTTAGCCAGGCTACTATTTAAGCATCTTTTCATCAGAGTTTTATAAGCTGTTGATTTTGTGCAATGAGAAAAGCGAAGTCCTGGTACTAATGTATTTAAGAGAGAATTTTATGGCACTTTGTTTGTATGCTATAAAACATAAGCAAACATCCTTGATGAACTTGCCTAACGGTACAACACAGAGTAAATAGATTAGGATGCATTTTTTGTAACTGAAGGATGTACAGAACATCCATGTTCTCAGTTATGTGAAAGAGGGGTGTGAGAGTTTCTGGCAAATGTTTGTTATCTGTTGAAAGCAAAGGGGATGATGAAATGCATCAGTAACCTGGGAATTAGTTATGGGTACAAGAGAACTGTCACAGAATACTGTATGTGAGAAGGACTCGTGCTTGACATGAAGAAGGAACTGTTCTGAATGTGATTAACTTGAATCACTGAAGAATATTGAGCAGAAAGTAAAGAAGACACAGTCAGAGGAAGATAACATTGCAATTCCTGCTGTTGAAGTTGAGCATTACCAACAGCGGTTAGTTGGTAATTTATATAGTCAAAATAAAGTTAATATTTTTGATAGGAAGAGTGAGTAGAAAGCAGTAACGGAATTTAGTGAGTGCTTACATAGGTGGTAAAAACAGGAAGTTGGAGTCAAAGTGGTATCAAAATTGTGTGACGGGAAGATACTAAGAAATGCTGTGAGAGTGCTGGAGACTTACTAGTAAGACCCTGAAGAGACAAATGGGATGTGTATTAAAAAAAAAAAAAAAAAAAAGATTGAGAAGGCAGGAGCAGATCATATTATATTTCAGAAGATTAGAAATAAATGTGTTTTACATGGAAAGTTGAAAGGTGAAGATTAGTTTCCTTATTCATCTGTTACTTCACTGGTTTCGGGTTTTTTTCCTGAGGGATGACGTGCAGAAATTTATAGAGCTCTATCTTTTTTCCCCCTGAATCTCGTACTTGCTTATATGAAATACTCTTTTGTTGCAGGTTCGCTAAGTAAAACAGTCTTGAAAATGTTGTCCAGACTTTTTCGAATGCATGGCCTTTTTGTAGCCTCTCATCCATGGGAAGTCATTGTGGGAACAGTGACTCTCACCATCTGTATGATGTCCATGAAGATGTTCACTGGGAATGATAAGATTTGTGGCTGGAATTACGAGTGCCCCAAACTTGAAGAAGTAAGGATTTAGATTCATGTTATAATACTTACTGTTAATCAGTAGAACCAGGGTTTTCTGTAGAATAAGATCAGGTTGTGATGTATTAGGAGGAAAGTAGCTATGCAGAAACTTCTTTATTGCCTTCTTCTCCCATTGCGGATATTAAAGCTGTATGCAAGCAGTGATGCACTACAGAAGGTTTTCATTAAATATAACTTTCAGTTGCATAGCATCTAGTGAACAAGGATTTTATACTGTTTGCAATATTTTAATTCCTTAAGACAGACTAGCATTGATACTTATTTTATTCTGAAACTTCATTTTTAGTGCAGCTTCACAACAGAATTTTATTACTGAAACTTAACAACAAGTTATTACTTAATGTAAAAGCTAACTAAATTGCTTTGTATTTCAAACAGGATGTTCTGAGCAGTGACATCATCATCCTGACAATCACGCGCTGTATAGCAATCCTTTATATATTTTTCCAGTTTCAGAACCTAAGGCAGCTTGGGTCAAAATACATTTTAGGTACTGTATCTGATTTTTGTATTTGCTGTGTGCATTTTAATTTTTTTTTTATATAAATTGGTAATAAATATTAGCAGAGTAAATGTTCTGCATAGATCAAAGTGCAATTTTTTTTTTTAAGAGAGATTGTGTAGGATTATATAACAGTGGAAATGTTATTCTTGAAATAGTTGTTTATTGTGTGAAACACTTAAGAATATAGAGCTGTTTAAGCCAGTTTTCATTTTTGCTGATAATGAATGAGAATATTTATGGCTTTTACTTAGAGTCTTACTTTGAATGCAGTACAAATTTTAGATTTAAGTATCTGTATAAAAATAGCATCTATTTCAGTTTGTATCTCAACTGCTGTTAATGCACTCTGAGATGAGAATTGTCATTTGTTTGCTTCAGGACTGATCTAAAGGTATAGTTCTTCTTTTCTCCTTTTTTTTTTTTTTCCTCCCTATATATTGAACAAAAATTTCCAATTCTCCTTTTTTTTAA